TTCTAAAAAAGGAATAAGGGATGAAATAAAGGACAAAGTGAAAAATAAAGGACAAAGTCCCCAAAAATCAAAAATCTCTTCAGAACTCACGCAAAAAGCAAAACTAATCAAAAGGAAAGGACAGAAGGGCAAGAAAGAAGCTCCCAGACGGGGAATTGAACCCCGGTCGCCGCCGTGAGAGGGCGGAATCTTAGCCACTAGACGATCTAGGATCTGTTGTGATTTTGTTTTTTTTAGTCAAGTTGCCGCTGCTTGTCCGAACGGTCAATGTCGCTGCCGCCCAGGCAACAGAAGTGATTCGACTGTCCATCACCGAGAAGATCAATCAGAAAACTTGTTTGCAAAGAGTTCAAGCTTGACGGTTTTAACAATCAAATTTATTTCATTCGATTGATAAGTCAAACGCGCTCCATCCGCGAATGCTACGACCAAAACGCGACATGACAAAGATCAACGGCGATTCGCTACGTATCATTCCCACTATCAGAATTGAGACGGTGAGGCTTGGGATTTTTTAACGACCGAAAATATTCAGCGTGTCCCCAGCTCACCTCCGATCTGCCACCGCCGACACCATGATCCCTGCAGCATCTCAGCGAGCTGCGTTGACCTTACGCATGTGGCGCGCTGCGAAGATGCGCGATAAACGATGCAAAAATTTCACCCGATCCAGGCAATGAACACAAATCACCAAATCCAAAGCCACAGCGCGCAAAAGCTTGAGCAGAGTGGGATTCGAACCCACGCCCACGAATGGATCACGGCCTTAACGTGACGCCTTAGACCGCTCGGCCATCTGCCCATGATATCTGTTTATCGAATGGCATTAAAGATGTCCTGGCGCATTGAATAAGATTACTCTGGGTGCTTTTGGGAACTGTGTGGGTGGGTGGAAGCTGGTTTTTTAAAAGTCTGTCGGTTCGCGGAGTTGTACGGGGCAACGCTCTCCTTCAGACTCTTCAACGCTCCCGGAACTCGACTCAAAATACTCACTCATAATGGCGCCGACATCTTTCGTGTTCTTGCTGGTTGCAAAGGGTGTGCTGATTCGGATACCTCGTGTGTTGCGGAAGCGTCAACGACAAGAGATGCAGCGTTTGCACCGGGCGTATGAGATGCACCAGCAGCTCGTGTGGAGCAAGGTCGTGTCTTGGGCGCCTCTTGAGTTGCAGGTGAGTTGCGGCAACCATCAGACAAAATATAATGCAGACGTCGCAACCCCAATCTCACATGTCACATAAAACTATGAGGGGAAAAAATGTATTTTAACATCACCCTCGCTACTTACCTCGCTGATATCCTCGTCTCTTTTACGCTTCTTCTTTTCAGCTCCGGCTCTCTCATAAACTTCCTCAAATCCGACAACTTTTGCTGCAATTCCATGCTCATTGAGATCCAGAACGAGTCCATCCAACCCTTGGACATTTGAGACAATCACGAGTTGCTTCAGAGACTCGCGATTCATTCCCACGAGAAGGATAATTTCGGCCAACATTGGAAAGACTTTGTTGGAGGCGGAAACGTTATAGATTTGTTCGTTGAACCCCACATACATTGGAAGAGAGGAGCGTTTAGCTTGGTGGGCAGAATTTACGATCGCAAAGCATGAGGACGCGGCAGTTTCGCAGTCTCCACACGCAGTCCTGTGGAGATTGCAGGCGACGATATTAAATATGAGAATACACACCAAAAAACCAATGATTACCATGCGAGCAAACATGGATTCTCCCTCAACACACATTCACCAAGCAATTGCAAAGCTGTACATATTTCGATTTTGAGTCGCCACGACGGAACCTTTGAAGCGATCCAATCCCCACTTCGCCGGCAGGCCAAACTTTGCAGGAATCGGGTCAGCAGTTGTTCTGATATCCCATATGTCGTATTAGAGCTTTTAAAATGATCAGGAAATATGTCGCGACGCCGGAATCGCAACAAGGCCTCCAGCAGCACTTGAAACAGAACAAAATCTGCAGCGTTCGGTCCAAAATCGCATTCGAACACATCGATGCCGGCGCGTCGCATCGCTTCGGCATCCAAATCCCAGCGACTGCGAGAGAATGCAGACGCGAAATACATTTTGGAATCATCCAATCCGCCCGTCACGATGCGAGAAATCTTGTCGACCATTTGCTTGTATGTCTATTGTTTGACAAACGTTGGCACCTCGACTGACGCGTAAACATGACAAATATTTTCTTCCCGTTTTCGACATCCCAAAACACCACAACACCGACATCACTAACATAATCAACCCTGTGATTGAAAACGCGCGCGGGAAGAAGTGATTCGACCCATCTGTCGATGGCAATGTTTCTTTGGCTGTACATTGATTTGATCGCGCGCGACGGGCGTAAACGAGGGACAACTGGTTCAGCAAATGATGCTGTGCAAGGGAGTCTCGAGTTTGCTTCAAACTAAATGAATTCTTCATTCGTGGCAAATTTGTCCGAAGCTTTTGCGGTGCTTGAGGGAAGGGGCTGGTGCCGATGATATGAAGTCTTATTCTGTGTATCGATCATAAACTTCTTAGGGAGAAGGCGAGGAGGGGCGTTGGTCGAGGGGGTATGGCCGAATGTGGCGGAAGACGCCGTTGAAAGTGGCGCTGAGCGATGACTCCCGCCGACGAGTGAGCTTCGCGTACGTCTTTGAGTGAGGAAGGGAGATCGGTGCTTTTGTTGGCGGTGGTGCGTTTGGATGCCATCTTTGGTTCGAGTGATGAATTTGGCACGAGTTTGGGTAGGTCTTAGAAAGTGGTGGGTCGTTTTCCCGTCCACTCCACAATCACTTGTGAAAGGGAAATGTACGTCATTAAACTTCTCCGACCCGTGCGACCCCATTAATTTTATGATCCTATTATTCGACGCGTAACGGCAACGAACATGGTATAAAAAATTCCTTCTGTGACAGATAAACTCGAACATTCAGCAGAGAGCAGACGAAAGATAACGAAGAGGAAATTGAAAATTTCAAAAATTTCAACAAAATTTCATAAAACTCTGCAGAATTAATGCAAATCGCAAAACTAATAGAAGTGCAAGAAAAAAGCTCCCAGACGGGGAATTGAACCCCGGTCGCCGCCGTGAGAGGGCGGAATCTTAGCCACTAGACGATCTAGGATGTATATTACGGAGAAAAAAAAGGAATAGATGCTGGACAAGAATGAACACAGCTGAAATCCCCAAGTGCAGTAGGTGCACGGGCAGTTCCTCGTGTGGGTAATGGTGGTGGTGCCGCCTTGTGCAGGACGCCCAGTCACTGCGAAAAGGCCTTGAAATTTTATTTGGAGGCAGAAAGCCAGGGGGATGGCGAGAGAGAGGGGGATTGCAAATTTTCACCAGGTCTTGCGCAAAACATAATCGCATCGGCACCGGACCAACACTCACTGTATATAGTTGAAGTTTTAGTATGGTAAAGAAGAAAGAAGGCTCTATCGATTCCGCTTGTCAGATTTAAAAAAACTTGATTTTTGCGAGAGCTCCAAATAATCACACTTTGCGAGCCTAAACACGATGGCCTTGCGTCCAAACGGACTCTGAATAGATTCATTACAACGCTATTAGTATCGGAAAGAGTTAATCCGGATCTGTTTGGTGATTTAGACAACGCGTCTGATGGAATATCCTGAGGAGGCCCTTTTTTGGAGGGCTGTTCCAAATCTGCTCTAACCTCACGCCCGGTCCGGATTGCCCCCCTCGTTTGCAGTCATAGGCATTCTCCTTTGGTGTGTGCAGAAGAATTCCGGATTAGAAGTTGTACAAAAGTGAAGAAAGGTGTAGTAATCGGGGTCGGAAGGTCAGGACGGCGATCGGGTTCAAACTTTGATTTTTTTTCTTACGAAATCGATATGACACGCAAAAAGCGAATAACGGTCAAGCAGAAAACAGCTCAAGCCATCGCGAGCCGCGCTGCTGCAGAGAAGCGAACGGGGCAAGGCAATGTGAGTACTTCATCCGATTCATCTTCTGACTGCTGGTATCGCTGTCAAAAGGCTGGTTGCCAGGGACAAGCGGCTGATCCAACGTCGTCTCGATGGCACGCCTCTTGGTTACGTTCCTTACTCCAAGAAAGCCAAGACATACCGGGGCCATGCCTTGACCAAAGACATTCGCGATTGGAGAAGACCGGATCCCGCTCTTGCGTCGAACACGGCCTGAAAGCGAGGCAAAAAGAGGGGACAAGCAACTTCCTGCCTGGGAAAGTGAAGTCATACCAGCCTGTTTCCCACGGAAAGTCCATTCGCTTGTTCCATGCGAAAGGAAGGCATGTTTAGAATTATTTTCAGTTTAAAGGAAAGAATAAACGGCACATTATTTATTAATAATTTATTTTCAAAGAAATCATTGCAGTCCCTCTCTCTCTATGTGAGCCGTGGCGAATGGCTTTATTCGAACTCATTTTCGAAAATGAAATTTTTTTTTGTCGTTTTTGCCTCTTGCGTGTTTTTTTGGGGGATCGCCACCCCTCTGAAAAACTTGAAGGATCGCTTGTTGTGTGAGAGTTTTGAAGAGATTGACTGGGTTGGCAATCATTTGCTCGAAGATTTGCCTGGGATTTGCTTTGCGAGTGCTGTGGACACAATTTTTTTGGTTTTGCTTTTTTGCTCGGGAGAGATTTGATTGGCTCACACGTTCCCAAGAATTTGCCTTTGCTCGAAAATTTGCTCTCCCTGGTGGAGATGCTCTGAGAAGACCTGCTCTGGAATGCTCCTGTACCCCCCTCCCCCTTCAAAAAATGGTCCTATGTAGCTCTGAAATTGTGCCTAAGTGATGCTCAACCAGGATTGGATGAATCTACAATGTCAGGTAGATGGGATAAGAAGAATTTTCACTGCAATGATTTTTTATCATTTCATTTTCCAATTCTGCACCCCTTTGACATCACATTCAGGATTGTCTTGGCTAAAGCACAAAGCTAAGGTACATCCACAAATAGAGCAGAAACTCTGCCAAGTAAATTGAATAAATTAACTTAACTCTCTAGCTAATCAAGTTTACTTAAAAGCATAGTTTCCGTGGTGTACCAGTCTAACACACTGGTGGTCCCCGGTTCGAACCCGGGCGGAAACATTTTGCTTTTTTTCCATCGAATTATACTTTTTTCACTTATTCTCAATGGATTTTTGATCTCCACCAAAAGATGCATTCATATTTTTTATTTTGGAGGTGTTTGGTAGAATCTGAAGTCATTGGGGACCATTTTTGAATCTGCCATGCTACTGCACACTTTAAATGCTTAGTGGTTAAACTTCATGCCAAGCTCATAGGCAAAAACCTGGTAGTAGATGCAGAAGCAAAGCCATTGAACCTCTTTACTTCTCTCTGAGATACTGCCTCATTTGAATGAATCTGAATGGCAGGTATGAGGAAGCAAAAACCTTCAAAGAGAAAGCGAGAAGTAGGTGAAGATTATTTCTGAAAACAAGTAAAATGTTGTGCATTTTTGCATTTTGTCCAAAATATGGGCCTTGTGGGTGAGCCAGGGGTGAAAGAATATATAGATGAGAGAGGCAGAGACTCAAATCCTGGTCAGGCCACCTTCCAGGCTGGGACAGGTGGCGTTCATTCACCAGTCATTTTGCGGAAGGCTTGTCCATCTCATGACTCGGAAAATGGGGTCATTTTAAAATTGCGATCAGAATCATTTTCTTTCAGCCAATTTGGTCCCATTTGGTGCCTACTGTCCCAGGATCTTGTCAGCGACACCCTTGGATCAACCTGAGTGTATGTGGTAAGAAATGAGAAATCAGAACTGCAGCCATTAACAATACTGATCTGACCATGTGATGCCAAAACTGGATTCACTTGACCTACTAGAAATCAGGACTTATTTGCAAATTTTGCTATGACCACCACCCTGGGCTGGGGATGTGATCAGGCACACCCTCCAGACATGTGCAAGGCTTGGTGACAGTGCCAGGGGCATTTGCAATTGGCTCTTGAAGTTAGGTGCAGAAATGCATCAGTTGATTCGGATTTTTATCAAATTTTTCGGCTTCCTTATGACACTGACCCACCCAATGGTTAACTGACTGAATGGGTCATGGTGCATTCTTGCACTTTGTCCAAAAAATGTGCCTTGTGGGTCAACAAAATCCTACTTGAACCCCCCCCCCCCCCCCCCCCTCAAGGTTTTGGGTCTAAATAAAGAGCTAGTGGCGATTTTATTTCTGAATGAATGAATGAATATTACAATTATCTTAATTGGAAAGAATATGGTCTGCCAAGTGCTCAGAGCTTCATGAGTTGTAGCAAATGCATTTGCTTTCATGCCTGGGGCTGCAATGGTATTTTGAGTGCTTGGCACAGCCTGTACGCTTGGCAGTTTGAGTGATGGTTCTCTTATCGTCTCTTATCGCAAGGGTTTCGATCCCAATCGGTTTTTATCGTTTTATATCGCGGGTTTATCTCGCTGATGGTGCATGCAGTTGGTGCAACACGTGCTCTTTCCAATGGGGATGGTGCATGCAGTTGTTTTCCTATGGTGATGGCGCATGCAGCTGGTGCACGCGGGATTCTTCTTCGATTTTCCATTTTGAGTGGTTTGAGCGCTATAAGAGCGGGTGTTTTTTATTTTGTTGATTCTTAGTTGAAAATATTAACGTTTTCGAGCCTATTTGCTTCCTACTTCTCTCTGGAATTCCTAACGGCACAAGTCCTGGTCTTGTATTCTCTCCAACTCTCCTACTCTTGTACCTTCAGACTTGAGTCCTAACAGAGACAGGGGAGTGAAAAAACAATCACACCACATCAATAATGACGGCATCACAGCTTCTCAAATGCCTGCAGGAACCTTCCCACCTCTTGTAGTTTGAGCGGACAAGAGGGGATGTTGTGTGTATGACCTGTTTCTTCTTCACCTCTGTTGCATATGCGGCTCAAATGATGCTTGGAGCTAATTTTTGACTATCTAAATCTGAATATCCCTTTCAAATAATAAAATCTTATGGGCCTGTGGCAAAATGGTTACCGCGCTTGACTACGAATCAAGAGATTCCAGGTTCGACCCCTGGCCGGCTCGTTTTCTTTTTTGCTTCTAAAGTTGAAGTAGCATTATGTATTTTGTGTCCCTTCTAATAATTGTTAGGGAATTGAAGTTGGATTTTAGACTGGTTTTTTTTATTGAATAAAATGTTCTCCTTTTAATCTTTTGGATTTGAATTATGGTGGAGAATTAAAGAATAAAGTACAGAGAAATGTCGAGAAAAAGTGCCACCAGAAAGCATAGAATTTGAAGGTTGCCACCATGAAAGCATGAGATGGAAGAAAAATGGGGACCACCGATGTCGGAGCTCATTCCGTAACACCTGCCTCCAAGAGCGTACGCGATGAAAAAGGGAGCAAAGGTGGAGGTGGTCAGTTGTGTTGATACTTGTTCAATAAATCAGGAGTTGCAGGAAGCCAGATGTTGAAGACTGGGTGGTGATCCTTCCTGAACAAGATCTTGGCATTTTCCATCGAGAATGCATGTTGCCAGGATCTTATCGATAACACAGAGTTTGATTGGGAGATTTTCGAGAGGGTCCCATGATGAGTCAAAGAAATATGGACGCAATTACTCCGGATGAAAGACCGGATGAATGTTCCAATCAATGGGAAGGTCAACACGGCAGGCAGGAGTGGAGCCAGCAAGCTCGAGGATCTTGTAAGGTCCGGAGTATTGGTTGGAGAGCTTGGCGGTAAGTGTGTAGCACAGGTTTGGCGGTTTGAAATCTTTGACTGATATCAAAACCAGATCACCGACTTGGAATGGGGATTGGAGTCGATGGCGGTTGGCAATTGCAGCGTAGGAGTCGTCCTTAAGGGACCGGGGCCCCTCCCCCCAAAGATTTCGACAAAAAAATGTATGGCGGAGGAAATGAGTTTGAGCCTGGTTCGTCGAGCAAGCGCCACAACAGACCCACTGCTCCAATCACTTTGAAACTTTGTAAACGCACAGATGATTGAGCTTTAAAGTACATATTAGCTGGACTTTTCATATAAACAAAATCTCACTCTATGGGGTCTCTCTCCTTTTTGAGTTGTTTTCGGCCCATGCCAAAAGCTATTCCAGTCTCAAAAATCAATCAATCACATCTAAACTCGATGATGAAGTATATTTACATTATACAAACAGATCTTTTGCAAAATTGACTCAAACGGGCTATTAATGGCAGAGAAAATTCGTATTCTGTTGAATTTCGCCTGATTTCCCCACCTCTTCAAATCGAATGGGTCATGGTTGGGAGCCAGTTGAAATGACCACCCTGACGCCTTTTTGTTATGAATCACTCTTATCAATGTGGATCAAAAGGGTTCGATTTTCCGATGACGCCATCATTGAGAGCTGTGATATCATTTTTTATTGCTTTG